GGGGGGTGGTGATGAAAAGCATGCAAAGGTACTGGCTTTCCCTCATTGAAAAGTACTATGGCAGCTCTTGTGAGGAGCGGGGGGATGTCTCGTTTGTATCTGTGTACTCCCAGGCATAATGAAATTTTGGGGAAACGCGTTCAGGCAGGGTTTGGGAGGCAGGAGAGGAGACAGTGCACAGCCTGGCACAGGCTCAGCTGTGATGAGGACGTTTTACCTGTTTGGCCACGGAAAGATGCTGTTTTCTTTCTCTGAATCTGCTTGCTGGCTCAGTCTAAGGAGAAACAGATCCCTTCCAAGGTCCTTAACCAGGGTCCTTCAGAAATGCTCCCTGCTTTCATAGCAACACACCCACTAACAGTTCAAAGTTTTTCCAGGTTAACCTGAAAAATCCAAAATTTGCAAAATCCCTGAAAGCACTGGGAGCACAGTGCAAAGGAAACTGCAGAAACCAGTCTCCCAAAGGGTTAAGATGTGGTTATCCATCCTGGGATGCCTCAAAAAATGTCTGTTCCATGACCAGGTCTCCCATCTAACTGCATTCCCTGGGCACAGCTCCAAGCCCAGGCATGGCTTTGTGCCTCCGTTTCTCCCTGCAGCCAAGAGAGCGGCACAACCTGAAGTAAGCGCTGGGCTGCAGAGCTGCATCCATGGTGGGCTGGGCTGCTGCTCACGGCACACCTGACCCCTCTCCCCACTGCATCACCCCTTCGTCCCTTCCTCCACGTGTGTCACCTCCCTGGAGCATTGCCCCTTCTGTCCTGCATCCTTGGGCCGTGAGGACACCAGGTGTTCCTCAACAGCAAACCTCTGTTGTTCTGTCCTTCTCAGGCTTTCTGCCCAGGGACAGGCACAGCAGGCAGCTGAAGGAAAAAAGAGGGAAAAGTGCTCAAAGATTGCTGAATTTGCAAATTAAAAATTTCCTTTTCAAAAGCAAGCCACAGGCCAGATGTTGCTCAATTTAATATCCGGCGATGTTTTTTGCACTTGCCCGTAAAGTTCCTATATGTGCCTATATGGTAATTTTCACCGCAGCGTTCTCGTTGCACACAGGCATGATAGCTGTTATTCCAAACTGACATTTCTAGCACTTTGTCCCAGACACCCTTGAAAGGCTAAATGGATTACTGTAATACTAATAAAATCAACTGTACTGTTACAACCTCCCAAGAAGACAGGCAGAAATCCATCTCTACTGGCTGCACCTATAAAATTCCAAATCCACATGCTTCTTTCCAGATCTAGATTTTTTTTTAAAAAAAAAAAAAAACACCCTCTTGGAAAAAAAAAAAAATCCCCTAAAAATAAGTGCTTTCCCCTCACATTCTACTGGTCCACAAAGAACAGAGAGGGATACAGGCAGGAAGTCACGCTCTGATTTCTCTTAAAGTATCAGAGCTAGAAATACACAGCATCTACTGCAGAGATGTCACTCTGTGCTCCCTTGTGACAGATGGCACTTGGTACTAGCCCTGACAGGCTATGAGATATTGGTCTTTTAAATGCTAACAGCATGATTTATAGAGCATTCACCAAGACACTCAATATTTCTGTCACTCCAAGGCCAAGATCTGGCAATGCAGAAAAGAGGGACATGAAAAATGTAATGGTATCACTAAGGCATTGTAGACATCTAAACGTTTCAGGAGGGACTTTTCTACACAGTGAGGTATAAACAAGCAAGTGAAGGCATAAACCCATTATTAGCACTTCAAGGTGACCAGTACTAGCAAGCCACATTAGACATGCTGAAGGACCTCTGGGTGCCCACTGCTGCTGGGTGCACATTTGCAGGTCTGGAGAAGCAGTGTATGTACAATCCAACTTCTTTGTTTGCTTGTACATGTACATCTGGGCTCCTTCTTTCAAAGGCTGAGGCATTACTGTTGCAAATGGGCATAGAGGAGGTATAAGCTCATAAGAAATCTGCCAGCACATGAATTTCCTGCTCTGTGTGTCTTTGGGAGCTTCATTCCATATTTTCCAAGCATAGTCAGGACAGGGCTGGGGGAGCACTATGCAGATCTTTCTGGACCACTTATCCTTCACCTTGTTTTAAGCAGCAAGTTCAAGACTAGATGCAGAAAATGGGCATCTGGGCCAAGCCAAGTGACCTCCCTCCCATCTGGGTCACTTTGCTCCATGAAGAAGAGGAACACAGTTTGGAGAGTTGTGCTCTCCCTTTTCTAACTGGCAGTGACTCCTCATCGCCTACGATGACCTGTTGGGCTAAAGCATTGCTTGGGCACCCATAGACTACTGCTTGTTCTAAATTGAACCAGGCATGTGGGTCTCTCACTCTAAGAAGACCTGACTTTGTCTTAGACTTGTCGTGGAGCATGAGGTCCACCCATTGAACACAGCATGGTGGGTGGAGCTCAGATCACCACTTACAGCATTATCCATCCACAGCAGTACCTGAGATGAAGGATCACATATAGGCCAATATCGCATTAGCTTCCACACATCCTTAGTCTTGCTTACATGACTTGAAGGACAACCCCTGGTTGTGTCTGGGATTGGACATCCAAGTTTTTCCTCTGACCAGATGGGAAATCTGATTCTCGTGGGCAACTTCAGAGATGCAGAAGTCAGTAGCGGGGGTTAATCCCTCTTGATGTTGTGTAAAGTAAGTTCACACCTTTCTCCTTCCAGACAAAGGCTGTAATTCAGCATATGACCATTCAAACCACTGGACAAATTAGGAGCTGCTGGCCATCATGATCTTCATTACACATGGGCAAGCATGCCATGGCTGACCAGTGCAGACACCAGGCAATTAGCTATCATCTGTCCCCAGTCAGGCTGGTTCTGTCATGAGGAAGATATGATTTGCTGTAAATCTGAAATTATTTCACTTCAGGAAAACAATGAGGCGCAGGCAATGCTCTCCCTTTGCAAAGAAGCCATCCAGCCCTGTTGGCAGTATTTCAGTGCCATAACAACTGTGGATTTGCAGAGAATAAGATCTAAATGAAAGGATGTGTGGCAGAAAGTGCTAGCAAACTCCTTGCAGGTTCATATTAGAGGAAACAGGGACCACTTTCAGTGCCTATTTGTGTGTTTGTCAGCTCTGGTTTCCTCCATCCTCATAATGCATATCAACCTGTTGGCTAATTTCAACCAAAATTTGGCAGAGGGAAAGATCACCTCGATTTTCAGGAAATTAGGCAGCAAAGAGAGGATAAAGTCAAACAAGTGTTGGAGCCAAGGGAAGAGCTGGAACGTGAGTGCTCATTAAGGCAGCCAAGTGTCCACATGGGAAAAAGTTATAATAAGCATCTCAATCAGGGCAAAGCATTCATCCAACACGAGCCACTGCAAGACATGAAACCATAAGAAAGCAGGTGTCATTTAATCTGACAGTCACAAAACTTGTGTTTTGTGTCTCCAAAGCACCTTTTATTTCTACAGCATTGGAGGGGCAGGAATAAGCCAACTCTGGAGTGGGTTTGACTATTTCCAACTGCAATTCCCCAGCAGTTGGTTATATCACACACTCTGTCTGGCTACCCTCAGACCTGGAGGCTTCTAGGAGACATCAATGCCCAGGAATCAAGTGAGAGCAGAGATCTGATGCCCACAAATATGGGATCTTCCCCGTCCTGGGAATAATCCCATTTCTGTTTCAGGGTGGGATCTTTCTCCCCTGGACATTAGCCCCCTTCTCGCAGCCTGTCGGCTAGATGGGCGCCAGCTTTTCCCTTTCAGCAGCTGGATTCATTCCCTTTCTCTCCCTTTCACCCTCAGTTCCCACTGTCAGCAAACCCACCCTCCCCAGGCTGAGCATGAGGCACACAGAACAAACTCTACCACGTATAGGGCAAAGTCCTCGACATGCACAAAAACACCATATTTGGCCAGTTTGAGCCAGAGTTGAGTGAGAGCTTGCCAGAAGGAGAATCATACAATTTAAACTGAAAGAGAGTAAGTTTAACCCTTCATTTATAAATATGATGATAAATCACCCAGGGAACTTTAAACACGGAACGGCTGCAAAATTAAACACATGCTGCTGCCATCCCCAGCAGCAGAGCAACACTAGCAGGCTGTACAGGGTGAGGGGCACAGGGGGGATGATAGAAGAGCCAGGTTGCCATATTAGATGTTCTGTTTCAGGTCAGGGAGATGAGAAAAGCTGAAGCTGTTTATAGTAAATAACACTCGCTCACTCTTGTTAATGTCCTTTTCATCTTTCCGATCCCAGTGTGTGGGTCTCTTTTTCTCTGTCTCTGGGTCTGCACACAGAGATCCCACCTGCACACAGCAGTAAATAACCATTTTGGAGAACAGCTAGGACAAAGCTCGATTGCCTGACCTGCCTTTTCTTTTGTATCCCATTACCTGAATTGCTAAGCCAGATCCAAAAGTCCCCTGGGTCAAGGATGTGAATCCCGTTAACTTCAGCAAGTGGAGGGTGAGGCTTAAGGCTGACACTAAGCAAAAGGTTGGGTGGAACGAAATACAGGATGGTCAAGGATATCCTCCTTGGGGCAGACGTAGCACTGAGCTGCCCGTGCTAAATGAGCATGTGTGATGCCAAGCAGCAAGCAAGCGAGGGAAGAGGCTGCAGGACCCGGTTTCAGCACTGTGACCATCTGTTTCCTATTTGGCCCAAGAACGATGGAATTGGTTGTGTCACGCAACAATGAGAAAGTATTTCACAGTAAGTGCCCCTCTCCCAGTGCTGAGCAGGGACCTTTATCAGAACGAGGGAAATCAGGTCAACTTCCAGTCTCCGTCCCTCCCCTTATCCCATTTCTACCCAGATGCCTGCTGTACTTTTAAGGAAATGCTACCCACATTCTCACAGACAGACAGACAAAATCCAGCCTGAGAGGTATAATATAACAGCACAGGCCAACTGGCGCGGTCAGACAAGCACTCAGAAGGATGCGTGTTTACCCATCTTGGGCTTTGCAGACTGGCAGCTCCAAGAAAAAGGGATTGCATGGAAATTGGGGGGGGGGCTGAGAGCTAAATTAGGCATGAAAAAGTTTGTGCTCCAAACCCTTTGAAGATTTTAGGAAGGGGGTTAGCACAAGGGCTCTTTACTCTGTAAGCAAAGGTGATTGTGGTTCTTATAGCTCTGCATGAGCTCATGCCAGAGCTGCAAGCATTAAACAGTACAAAAAAAAATAGCAAAATAAAGGTTTTCAGAGGCTGCAAAGCTTCTCATGTATTTAGCCGTGACCCCGCTGGCTGCTATATGCCACCGCTCCATGGTGATGGGTAGCAGAACTGAGTCACTTTAACAGCTGCATGAGTATTTCTGATGGCAGAGAGAGAGAGCTGGTTGGCGTAATTTTTTGATGGGGGGCTGGGGGGAGGAGGGGGGCAGAACTGGTAATCTTTGGAAATGTTTGCTTTTCCTCAGACACGAGGTCACGCTGCCATTCTATGCCTTGTTCAGCCCACTGCAAATTGGGGCAACGTACCTTTGTCAAGTGCTTGGAGACCCACAATGGAAAAATACTTAGTAGCTGTTAACCAGGGGTTTGGTCCAGCTCCATCTCAT